CTTCTCCTCAGTAGTGTGCAGCCCTATAGCCTTCCCCTGAGAGATAGTAGCTAAAGATATGAATCATTGCTAGTTGAAGAGATAACTGCATCTGGCTTTCCCCTTGGTCTCTGCTTACCACCAATTTACTGCTGGAAAAGCAGTCATGGGTATTTCTGTGCAAAGCTCCATCTGATAGCACCCCAGAGGACCCAAGTCCTTCAGGTAAAATAAGCAGAAGAATATGTGCTCAGGGGATCCTGGCAGGCTTAGGTGGGAGATAGGAGCTGAGCTACCTTGTACTGTTAAGACCAAGTTGTTTCTGACCAAGCCCAGGAGCCAAATTTTATGTGGTCGAACATCTGGCATTAAAAACATTCAGGAACTGCTAGTTAGTGCAGTTTGGAGGATCACAGTATTAGTCTGAGGCCCCCAATGTGCCTGTGCAGACCTCTACACGTGTGCTGCAACGTGCTGGGTATCTGGTCCCCGAGTGTTGTGGCTTTCATCCAGCTCATGCGCTTGATTTTTCTCTCTCTGGGCTCTTTGGTGCACGAGGTGGGGAAGGGAGTGCTGGACTACGACCAGGCCTTGCCCTGAGTGGACTCGTAGCACACAAACAGTCTATGTCTTGCCTTAGTACTGTGTTATGCCTCTGAAATCTCTTCTAGACATTCAACTAGCAGCTTTTTTACCTTGAGGAAATCACTTACTAGCGAAATTCTGTTTTTCAGTTCCTTTACACAGTATATGGCTGAGTGGACACACCTATTTCATGCTAAAAAAGCTTTTGTGAGGTTTAGTTCAGTGCAGTAAACAATGCCAAACTCAACACCTGGTTAAAAGGACGTGGACTTTCCTATAGCAGAACAGACCTTGTGTAGAAAAGCTGCTAGTATTCTTAGGGCTGCAGCTTGCCTAGAAGCAAGATCCAGAAGCAATTGCTTCCAAAGATATCTGAAATAAGAGGCTGAAATCTACAGACAGAGAAAATGTACCCATAGTCATTTTATCTTTCTTTTTATGAATATGACATCTAGTTACACTGACAAACCTGTTATATTTTTAAGTTTATCCCAACCATTCCTCGAAAAGAGATTTTTGGTTGCACTTTAAAGTTTCTTTGCTGCTTTTTTTTTTTTTTTTACATTGCCTTGTATGTGAAAGTTGAGATTTGATCCATTAGTTGGCCACTTATATCACAATTTCTTGTAAATCTCTATCAATGAATACAGCATGTATAACTCTGTTGTAATTATACACAAGCTTCTCTCTGATGTCTCTGGTTCATGCAAATCACCCTGTAAATGTGCTGAAGAGGACTTTCTGCCCTGCATCTTGCACACCTGTCCTCTTTGCCCCAGGATTCGGAGCAGGCATACATATGGGTACATAAGATCCGTTGCATAAGATGAAACCCTAAGCATTCAGAGCAAAATGTATGTACTGGAGCCAAGTACATACATTTAGAAAATGTTCTTTTTAATGAATGTGCTGGTCAGCAACTGGCTTTTATAAGAATCACTGGAAATGACTGGTTTCAGAGGAATTTTTCAAAGTCTTCTTAAAAGGATCACAAAACAGCAACTGTGTCAAAGTGGGTATATTCTTAAATGTTTGAACTAAAAGGGAAAGAAGAATAAATGTTTGATTCATGCTGAGCTAGCACTAAGTTTAGACTATGTATTTCTGGTTGAGCCAAGTGACATGCAGGCTCTTTGGAAAGAAGCAAATCTCCAGCTGACTTCAGTTTGGAGCAAGGAGGTGAAGACTTCCATTGCTGTGGTCTGAATTCATGCAGTTGTTCACTCAGTACCAGGGGCCTGATTTTGTCGTATCAGTGAAGACATCTCACAAAAGTCCTGCACTGAGGTCACTACTGTAAAACAAATTGTGCCCAGGGATCCCTCACGTGTTAAACGATCTGTTGATCAGTGACACTATTCCCCTAACTTTACATGAGCAAGGCTTTGTAATATTCATCTGTCTCTCCTGTAATGAAGTCTGCTCATACCAGATGTGAGAAATCATCTCAGAAGTGGATTGCTCAGCAATCTGCAGCCAAGTGAAAATAATGACAGAATTTGTTTCAAAAAATCACTACATGTAAACTGCAGTAATCTGTTGTGGTTTTTTTTTTTTTAATTCCCAGATTTAAAAGAATCTGTTCTTATTTTGCATTTTATCTCTTTTATCAGAATAAAGAAGAATCAATTAAACGTCATAATGAAAAGACATAGTTCTATAACAATGAAGGGAGGATTTCATGACTTAATGTCTCTGGTATATAAATGGCTCTTTGCCATTTACTCTATTTGGCTTTCTGCTGAGAGCACAGGCTTCATGCAAGCTAGTCTAATTGCTACAATTAGCAAAATTAAACGGCTTATTGTGTGTTTAGACAATTCTTCCCATGTTCTGCTTTGTTATGCTACAGAATTAGTAATTGCAGTGTTGGGCTTGTAAATTCACGGACACGTGTTGCAATTATTTTCATCACACACATCTTGTAGGGGCTCAATGTAAATAAGCTCATTTAAATAGATGCACAGATGCAATTTACTCTGCTTCCCACCATGCACAGGAGCAAGAGAGGCGGCAGCAGGACCACAGAAATCTGCTGAAGTCTTTTATTTGGCACTGTGCAGGCAGTGCAGGGGGTGCAAAACAAATCTCAGCATCTCAGTCACTGTGGATTGCACAGCTTCAGGGATGGAGCAGAGAAATGGCAGCAGCGGCTTTGGGAGCTGAATCACTGGCAGAGCCAACTAAAACTCAGTGCAGCGCCACTTTTAAGGCTGTTAAGGAGTTATATGATCAAATCACAAAGACTTCAAAACTGTTTGTGTTCTAAAAAACCCAAAAGGCTGGTTGTGAATATTTGCTGGCCAATAAAAAGTAAATGAACATATTGCATGATTGGAAGTCCCTTTCCAAATAAAGCAGCACCTTTACTTTTACTACAACTTACGAATTGCTCTTTTGGGAAATAATGATGTGTTGGCTAGACCATTGTATGTTTTAAACTAATACGGGTGTAATAGCTATTCACCACATATTAAAAATTACATCTCCAATAAAATTGTAATTTACCCTCTCTGCTTAAAAGTTTACAAAATCAGGCAGATGAGGCCTAGCATTGAATTTTGGAAGGAAAATTTTCTCCAGTGTTATAAAAATTAATTAATAGAGAATTTGTTGTTTTGTCAATAAAAATGTTGTTTATATGTCATCAAAGCCATATAGCCCAAGCACAGAAACATTGTTCTAGCACAAGAAACATATTTAAATTGACATAAGCGAAATCAGAAATTACTTTTTTTCATTATTAAATATGCAGGAAAAAGGTATTGCACATATTTGCAAAGAATTTCTTCAGAAAAATTATCTTATTACAGAAAAAATAACTTTTAAAATAAGACAAAAATTTTATGTTACATTTTTTATATGTTTTCTGAATGAACCTGGTATACATTATCTCTTCTTTATTAATTAGAGTAGTGAATAGTAGTTGAATCGCCTTTTCTGTAACAGACAAATACAGACCCTCAAAAGTTTAGGACCAAGTGTTTAACCAGATAAGTTACCATTAAATCCATTGGCAATTTTTTGGTTTCAGTAGAACAATGCTTTCATAATTCTTACTTCTAACAAAGAGATGTGATTGCTTTTCTTTACCAGAATGTGAATATGAAAATATGAACATTTTATTTTCTTGTATTCTGTAATGAAATTTAGAAGGCCTGATTTTTTTTTATTATTTCAAAAGCAGAAGTTAATTTTCTTTACAATTTTTTGGATGGGTTTTTTTTTGTTTTTTGTTGTTGTTGTTGTTGTTGTTTGGTTTTTTGGATTTTTTTTTTTTGCTATTGCTGTCTTAATTGAATGTTATTGATTTTAAAACTGCCTGTGGTAAAAAGAATAGTGCATATTGATTATTAACTCTCCTTAAGGCCATCATGGAATTTCAACGTGGATGATGTTTAATCTTGGCAATTTCTATAAAAGGTTCTTACAGCTTTTAATGTGACTATTCACAGCAATGCAAATTATGAAACTGTCCACGTAGTCATCTGAGTGTTAAGATTTCAATGGCCACCCTGTTCTCAGTGCAAGTATCACTGATGTTATGAATGTAACAGAGTAAGATTTTGGAGAGCAAATTTTGACAGTGTATATTGATTTCTCTCCATCCCTCAAACAGTGAGACTGAATTCTTAGGACAAGATGTATATATATAGTGCTGTGCATATACATATATATATATATGTGTATGTGTATGTTGCTCTGCACTCAGACCCTGCAGTAGTAGTTTGCTTAAGATAAACATTTTTACAAACATTATTTAAAAAAATCAAAAATGCTGAGAGAGTAAAGAAAGTAAATGCTAGGCAGGAAAACCCACATGGATAAATAATACCTCTGTGTCCTTCCTTCCAAAACCAAACAAGAGCAAATCAAACAAACTCACCCCAAACCTTCTTCAGCAACCTTGCAAAGCAAGCACTGGTGCAGACTTTAAATTTCATACGAAGGAACGTTTCTTCAATTCTTTAAGCCCTGACCAAAGGGCTCACAGCTCTGAGGAAGAGCAAGGGCATGAGAGGGACAGCAGCACAGGACAAGCCTCACTGACAGCCGTGATGTGCCCCTCTCCCCAGGAGGTACCAGAGGGTGGGTAGAGCTTGCGAAGGCTGCCCACTGTGCCTCGTTCAGGCTTAAATTTCTGACTTGTTAAAGCAGCAGCAAACACATTCAACTGTTTCCAGAAGAAACACATCTTGGATCACAAAGCTTACCATTTGCCTTGTTTGTAAAGAAAACCAGCAATTTTCTTGTGCGAGCTAGCGTTTGATTCTGGAGTGAAGGCTCTACTGAATTTGACAGGACAAAGGACTTGCTTCAAAAACCTTTTTTTAGCAGTTCTTGCACTGGTATATTTTTTGACAAAACATGAGTGCTTTTCTCTGAATAATTAGCTATATATTCATGGAGAGAAGGGCAATCACTTTGTACAAAGCTTCAGGTTTGGACTATCAAAAAATTGTTTTATTTAAAAAATTATTATAGAGGCAGTTGGCTACTGCTTAATTTGAAAATACCTAAGAAACCCTTGAAGCATGGGTGTTTTCTGATCTGTGTAAAGTTCCCTCTGCCTTGCAGATTCCTGCACTTTCACAGATTTTTTTTTTTGTTTTGAGGAACTTGCCCCAGCAAAGAACAACAGGTATCGAACATTTCACTAATAAAAAAAGTCAACATTAAAAATGGCTAATTGAACGCATACAAATAAACATAGTCGGTGTAACCTTGGCCATTTCATAGTACAAATATTCGTAATAGGAAAGACTGAAATTAATCCAGCAGCATATACAGCAGTGACTACACTGGATATATCTGACAGTGAAGATTACAATACCAATCATCAGGTCTTCTCCATTCTGACAATGCCATTTACAACAACAACTCTTCAGTTCTGCTTCTCTCTCCTAAAATGGATGGAAATAGTTATAGCAAATTTTTTCTTATGGAATCACTTGGTGTCTTTACAACCCACTTACATTTGAAACAGGATCCACAGTTTATAGGGTATTCTAAAAGTACCCATGTAGGCTTTCATATAGCATTACACTGCAAAACAAATCCATAATGTGTGAAAACCAGGTTTACATCAACCTGAAAAAGCCATTTGATAAAATTCATGGACCAATTCTTAAAATCTAAGCTATAAAGAGAATGAAATGTATTAAAAGATTTGAGGTTTATAAAAAGTAACCTTTTATACCATATTTTTAGTTTACAAAAATATCGAAATAATCCATGAGTTTTTCACTCTGCACCAGATTTAAAAAAAATACTATCAAATTTTGACTTGCACCTTTAATGCATTTGAAAGCACCATCAGGGGATACTTTTAACATGAAGGATAATACCATTGACTAGATTTAGGGAGGTATTTAAAACCCAAAAGCTTGCAGCAAAGCACTCTATTACAAGAGATTCAATGTAATTTTTAAACGCATCTGGACAAAAGTCTTGAACAGGCAGAAGAGACTCTTCCACATAACTTTCTTATACTTCTGTGAATATACTTACTAAGAGGTGGTTGAAAGCCTTTAAAAGACACCACTTTCACCTTGGGTTGGGAAAAATCAGAGCTGTCTCTACATGTTGAGAACTTGTTTGGTCTTCCCTGCTTCTTTTTCTGGTAGGGCTTGTGCCACTTGTTATCTGTCCCTCAGGCAATATCAACCTTGCAGTTATACAATGTTTGGCACTAGAAGGGTATGGCATGTCACAGTCTCTTGTCACCCCTGCATACATTCACACACTGAATCATGCATTCTCAGTCCTGAAACAGAGAAGTCTCAGTGTGTTCATCTCCTTGTAGCTTCTTCTGAAATGTCTGAATGGGGTCCTCCAAAAAGTTTAGAATGTGAAAACTATACTTCCCTGTTCTTTCACTTTTTTTTTTTTTTTTTTGCAAATTGAACACTGAATCATGATTATCATTTAATGTATATCACTACATGTTAGAGCTCCTTATTTCTTCTGAAAAGCAGAAGTGAGCTGCATAGGATTTCTGCTGAAAGTAACATCAAGAAGTTAAATTTTATTTTAAAAAGACTTTGAAATTCTACAGAAAACAAACAGTTCTGGTAGTATTAATTTTTATGACCTAATTAATCAAAATTTAGTTTACTTTCCTTTGACAGCCTTACAAACATGATAATGTATCTTTTTAATTAAGAACTATTTTGCATACCTAACCTAACCTTAATGGTTGATTTATGGGAGTGTTGAAAACTATTATGTTCCTATTTTTTTCCCCAGAAAACAATTTTCATAACAGCAACACTGTGTGCTAGTTTTGTTATTTTTGAAAAGGTATGTTTTTGTTTATTTTTGCCATTGATTATGGAAATATCAATCATTAATTTCTAAAATAAAATGCACTACTGGCTAAAGTTGAAAGCTCTTGATTGGTTGTAAGTACTGTGCAGTTAGAGTTTCATAGCAGCAAGGGGTCGTGGGTGAGTTTCCCCAGCTGAAGTAACTGATCTGTATGTGTGGGTCAAAGTTTTTTTAGGATTTCAGATGACGCTGCTGTATCAGTGTCCTGCAGACAGACTGCACACAGTGGATCAAATGATAATCATGATGATAGCCAGACTAAGAACACTATAGCTTGCTTCTCTACTTGTAGTACATAGTTTAGTTATTCCTACAGCCCTACTGTCAACCCTTAATTTGGACTGTAACACTGGAGCTTCTTCAAGCCGTGTTTTTGCTTTGTTTACAATGTGGTTTCATATTCCAAGCGCTCCTGGATAAGGGCATCATCTTTATACTGTAGCCGTGGAGGAGCAGGGGAACATTCAAATGCCAAGATTGCCTTCCTCAGGCTCCTGTCCAACACATGTCTCTCCCATGCTGGGTACCTGTTCCTGAACAGATCAATTTTAATGACAGACTCCTCAATCCTTGGTGGCCGGGATGAAGGTGTGGATGGTGCGGTGGGTCTCACCTGAAACACAGGCACACACCCATCCCTCTCTGCAAATTTTTGATCCCGCTCGCTTGTGACACTCCGGTTGTTGGAGATGGACCTTAGCGTGCTTGTGGCCACTTCTGGGGGTAGGGTGAAGGCAGTGGCAGGGTCCTCACAAGCACAGCTTGGCGACTGCCCAAACCTTGGTCCATTGGGGTGAAAGAAGGCATAGTACATTAACATAAAAACGATGCCTGTTAAAAAGCTGCTGAACACTACACACAGTGCTGGTATGGCAAATGCGTCAGAGATTTGAGGGGCTTTGTACAGATACCAGAGAACACTCAAGGCAGTGTTTTCTAAAAGGATGACAAAATAGTAAATGAAAAGCCTACAGCGTGTCCTTCCTTCCTTGACATTGAACCAGCTGAAGATATAGATTATCCCAACAACCATGTCGAAAACTATCTCCTCCCACTTAGTGATGCAAAACTCTGTCTCGCAGTGAACGATCCAGAAGGTCATGATGCACCAATGCAACACGATGAAGATCCCAAAGTACAGCTGGAAAACTGAGGCAAACAGAGCAAAAGTAATGACCCTTGCTGCAATTGTGAAGAAATGCCAGCAAAACTGGATTATAACAGCCATATAACTGATGGGTTTCTTGTCATCACGGGAGTCACGGAGGGCCTTTTGGTAGGAAGCCAAAGCCCAGGCCAGGGATACGAGAGATGCTGCAGCAGTAAGACCTAGGAGGAAACAGGAGATGCAGTTAAGGCATAATTAGTATGTCAGTGATTGGCTGAAACCGGTGAGATCCTTACCGCTTTAAATACGTTCTACATCATTGACATAATAAAACCTCTTCCTTCTCCTTCAGCTCAGAGAAACAGACCTCAACAGCTGAGATTTCATTGCCCTTACAATGCTGGATACACAAAAACGTGAGGGGCCACCAAACCACACTCTGAACCGCTTCTCCAGCAATTAAACATTTGAAACAAATTAACTAATTCGCAACTTTGAGCAAGTTGGAGATGGGTGTCTCTGTCAGCTCTGTGATTTAATGGGACCTGCTGTCGTTATTGTTTTCAAGAAAGAATATGAATTTTCTGATTTTGATAAATCATTAAGGAAATCTAATATAAAGCAACTAAGTCTTTCTAATTAAAATGTCAGCATCATATACATATAAAATAAATCAATAACAATGTGACCATAATTCTGCATTTTAAAAATAAATTTATGTAACTCTTGTTACATGAAAATGTAAACTGACTGCTTTACTCTTGCTAAGGGAAAAAAAAATGCCCATTTTCATATTTTAAACAGAATTTTAATAAGTATAAAATGTCAAAACTTATTTTCTTTCAGCTGGAAATTAAATTTATTTTAGAAATGTTGGAATTGTCTACTGAATTAAAATTCTGAGTAAAGATGCTCCTAAAGTAGGGGTTTATGATTAATACAGCAATACAGCCATTCTATCTCCCATACATCACAGAACTGCCTACTTACAAGGCCCTAAACTATAATATTTTGGTAAAACTTCAAAATTATTTAAAGAATTGAATATGAAATTATGTCTCATAAGATTTCAAACATTAGTTCTGTGAAAATACAAAAAAATACAAACATACAAAAACTGTAAAACAATTATTTTTTAAAAAGACCATTTAATATTTATTTTTAATGTGTATTATTCTTTTCTCCTCAAGGGACTTTGACTCTTGTCTGTAGGTAAATTAAAAAAAAAAAAAGTTAGTTTGAATCTAATTTTTAAACTAATCTGTTACTTCCATACACTGCCAGAAACATACCTTACATTTCCATTTCAGAAGTGGCATAGTTCAGGATAATTATTCAAATGCTTAATACTTACACAGCATTCTGATAGAAATGATAATAATTCTTCTTTATAGAAGATTAATTTTTATTTACTTACGACTCATATCAACCTGCTTTGTATGGAAATGGGATTTGCAATTGAAATGCGAAATCCCAGCCTTTCAAGCGTATTTATTATTTAAATAAAATTGCAATAAATGTATACAGAGGAAAAATGTATCAAACAATTTATACTTAAAACTGGTTTATTACCAAGCCTAATTTTACATACAGCTAATGAATCAATTCATAAGTCTCAGCATCCCAGACTGAGAGTTTATTCATAGACCATTTAAAGATAATGATGCTTCAGCTTATTCTATTTCTAAGCAGTTCCTTAACTTTGAACGAGTTATTGAAGTAAATCAAACTGACATGAAGAAAACATTTCTTTTGTCTGCTGTTAAAAGCTGTTTAATCATTTCAACAACCTTTGGTTCTGGATGTATAGCCAGGATTTTTCTTCCCTGTTCAAGAATATATTACTTAACTATTACAAATTTTATGAAATTTTATTAATATAGGATGGTAAATTTAAGCTGAAATACATATTGCTATTTACTTCAGAAAAAAAAGAGGCTATTTTAAAACAGAAAAATGTAGGTTATGGAAATACTACCTGATTCTGACGGAAAAAATTCTATTTGAGCAATTCACCTGGATTAACACATCAAGATTTTGCTCAGTAAGTAGTACAGAGAGATTAATTGCTTTCAGGAAGGGTTGCATTTGCCAGTGTTTCTCCCTCAGTCACCGGCAGGGTGCTAATAATGTTGTGAGCTCCCATGAATTTAAAATATCTTTGTTTTAAAAATAATAACAAACAATCAGCAGAAATATAGAGCAAACTTAGGATTCCAAGGAGAATTTTTAACAAAACTTCATCATTTTAATCCCCACGTAGATGCCTGGATGACAAAACACCAGCGTTACTGCTGGAATCCTCCTTCACGGAGAAAATAAGCTATCAGCAATGAAGACAGGAAGAAGACATGGTGTAAATTGCTATTTTCATTTCTGACTTGTATGCATGTTTTCTCACACTGGGCTGCCCTTCTGTGTTTGTTACCTCTGAAGACAACACTACGATCTGAAAATGTAAGTTCTTGTTTTCCTGTAGGAATGTTTTAATTATTGAAAAAACACAGTTCGTTTCCCTCATGAAATGAAAAGTTTGGAAAGGTAGATGAATAGGATAAAGGGTAAAAGAATCTTTCAATACAAATGAACCACTCTGAACAAAAGTTCAAAAATAGCATTATCAGCACAGGAAAAAATAATGTGAGCAAGAAATCCGCATGTTTTCTTTGCAAATGTAACTTTAATGACCTCACGCACTCCCCCTGAGGTTTGTAGAGATATCATCAGTTTTGCATTAGGAAGTGTAAAATCATTCAATAATGCACACAGAATATAATGGTAAATTCACAGGAATTTCCAGTGTTCTAATGCTAATTAATTCATAGTCATTGCTGGGACAGAAAGAAGCAAGTACAATAGTAATGTAATTCTGTTATTTAAATAGTCATTAATAGCGAATCATCCTTTGCTTTTACAGAACAAACTCAGGGATATTGGGAAACAGGAGAGAAAGGAGACAAGGGAATGTACAAAAGGAAAGAACTGTCAGTTAATGTATTATGTATCTAACCTTGTGCTATTGGCAATGGTGTTAGGGATATAGAATTAAGATAAGGTTAAGCACTTCACAGGCTCCATCTGTTCCTCTTTATTGACGAGACTAAGCACTAAAGAATTATTACAAGTAAATTAATAATGAAAACAATAATGTAAAAGTGATGCAAATGGCAGTTTGCTAATAAATGTCACTATATCAATAATTCACTGGGAGTGGTCAGAGATAAAGTGAATTATTGTAGCACTGAATGGATAATTCATTAATTAGAACCTATTAATGCAGTTGCTGAGTATGTATTTGGATAAACCCCTTTATCCCTACTTCAAAAGAGGAACTAAAATAAATTCCTATTACTGTCAAATCAAAACTTTAACAAGTCAGGAAGTTAAAGTCTGCAGTCAGGAAGGCTTATTTGCCACCCAGAAATGTACAGAAATTGGATGCGATCTGTGGAGCCACCATTCATGAGGAACAAGAACCAGCTTTGCTGCTTGCTCAGCTGCAGCCTATGTACACTTTTTGGGTGCTGCAGCAGCTTTATGGTGTATTTGACAGTCTTGTATTATGAGAGTCTTGTATTTAGAGTCTTGATCTCAGTAATTAAGATTAAATAGCCATTCCCAGTGAATATATACACAAGCAAATGTATGCTCATCCTTTACAGACTGTTGAAAGAACAGGAAAATTCTCTAAAATGGCCTTAGGAAGCACGAAACATGTTCCTGGTTCTTTCTTTTCTGAAGCTGAACCTTCAAATATTTTTCCACAGTATGTGATTTGGTCTCTAAAGTTCTGTTTGTAAAAGGAAAGAAATACAGGCTTTGCATAGGTAAAGCATCACTTTACAATTTGCATCAGGCAAATGATGCTTTTGTCTGTTTCTAAAATGGACACCTGACATACTCTAAATAGCAATGAATGGGAGTGGGATTGTATGTACCCACTTTGCAGCTTAGCCCATCAACAACAGTCACAATAGTGAGAAAATAATAGATTGTATCAAGACAACTTTCTGCTAGGAACTAATTATAATCTGTTTTGAGTGAAAAATACAGTTTAACCTCTTTTGTTCTGTTAAGGGTCTGTATTATTTAATTATGTTATTTGTATAAAGGAATGACAACTTTTTATTACAGATGAGTTTCAGATATTCTTAAGATAGTACACTATCTGTCTGATAAACAAAGAACAGAACTGCCTTGACTGAATTATAAATTTAATTTTTCCCACGGAAATTATTAATTTCTCCAAGATGTGTTTGCATTTTATAGAGTGCGGCATATCCATACTGATAATTTAAATATAAAATTTGATACACTACAATGAGCTACACCTCCTTAGAGACAAGATAAAAAACCCACTAACATGACTTTCACAAACGAAAGCAAATATATGTGAGGGAAAAGAGAATGTACACAGAGATGAATACATTCACAAACGCAAGATTTCAGGGAAGCAAGCGAGCCCAAATAACTACAGGAGAGCAAATGAAATTCTTCTCAACAGTATTTGTGAGAAATCTGAGTGAAATATTTTGTTCATGGGCAAACCAAATAGAATTGCTCACAACACATAGGGGTTTTCTATATTACATCTCTGCATGGCAATTCACAACTTAGTTGTATCTTGCTAACACCTCTACCTTTCCATGATATCCCACAATATAATCTTTAGACTGGAGTGTAGCTGAAAAAAATACAGGTCTCATTCTCACAGTAATTTTATTTTACTCCTAATTTGTACTTGAGATAGTAAAGGCATATTCAAATCCATAAATCACTTTTTTCTAATCACATCAGTCCATAAATCCTATATAGCATAAGTACAGAACAGCTTGAGTCAGCTGGAAAGCATATAAAGGGATGAACTGATCACAGAAAATGCTCCTTAGCATTCAACCTGATTTCAGAAATCAAACTACTGCCAACTGTGTCTGTCTCTGCTTCATCCTTCCTTTTAAACTTGTGCTCATCTCACCGTGCCTTGGAGTAAACTTATCTAAAAGCAGGAATACCAAATGCAGAAGGACATCTGGGCATGACAACATTTTCTGGGTTCTGGGACTATGAAACATTACTTTAAGAAAGCCTATTTTATGAGTTTCCTACTCAGCTGGAGAGGTGCTGATAGATGCATCCAAGCTTCCAGGTGCTTCTCTGAACCAAAGCCAAGGTTCTCTAATATTTGAATCTTAGTCCTGTAGGAAATAGCATATCATGACTG